TATTATTTTGTTGTTCTAGTATTACACCCGAGGACATGTATTAGTCAGGAAGGCCGTGTCGATGCAAACAAATAACTTTGTTAATTTGAACATCATTTTTGAAATGACGAATGACCTGTATATACATTTTGTAATACATGACAAACTACTGTGTATAGTAATTGTATATGCATCTCATATTACATGACAAACTACTGTGTATGCAAAGCACTTTGTAAATAAATTTCAATGTAATCGAAGTATGCTGTTTTCATGTCTCTCTTAATTATATCCTTCGGTGTGAGAGCGAGGTAAAAGCATTTCGTTTTGCCGAGTGTGCTTCTGCGCGTCACGATACAATCAATGAGTATTGGATAGGCAAGAAAGAGACAAAGAATGTGCACAAGGTTTTGTTCTGGTAGATATACTAAGAGTGATGAAGCGCTTTTGGTACTGGATGATTAGTGTGAAAATACTCGAGGAGGTCGGTCGCACAGTTGTTCGCTGCGCTTCCCCAGAAATACATATATTAACTTTAGAGAAATGGAAGCCGGCTTGCCCAWGAACGGCGCTCCTACTGCAGTACCTAATTGCACGAAAATTARTACAGACGATGCTCCTATATATGGACCGACATACAAAATATATCCCCACCCCACAATACATGACGGGTATTTCGTCAGCATTAAGGAAACAAATCGTCACATAATTTTTAACGAAAATAAAGCGGTTCTTTATTGCATGACTAATGAAATGTTGTACAGATGTCAATGTATGGTGAGAATGACAATATGTCCRCATCCTATCTTTAACGTAGGACACATGCAGACTTGTGACTGTGAACAGACTGTTTTGTTACAGCTCTCCTCACCTAACACATGGATATTTTCAATGCCATCAAAGATGGAGGCCAACAATAGCTGCAATGGAAGTAATCAAAGAACCAACCTAGACGGGCAAGGCATCATGAAATTAGACACCAATTGCGTTTTGAGGGCGGAGAGCGTAAATCTTTGGGCATACAAGTTAACGGCAGCAGCCACACAGACACTTTATGATAAATGTAAACAAATTGTACCTTCCCACGGTATTGCTGCTTGGTCAGCAGAATACTTTAATTAATAAGAAATGAATACATCATTTGTTTTGATAATGAGAATAATTGGAAGTTCAATGCTCTGGCATTTCATCACTAAATATAATGACAAGCATTTTTAGTAATAAGCCGTTACACATATAATTCTAAGAATATATTAAATTAATTATTAATATTTGTCGAAATGAATGCAAATAAATAAAAAAGGCACCACTGAAGGGGCATCACTGATCCTCTCCACACAAAACTCTTTGTTTGTTTCGTTTTTTCCACTTGTTACAAAAAAGGAGGGTGAAGCTGTGCCGGCTTTAGTTCTGTATAGTCCAAAAAAAAAAAAAGCACTCACGCCTCCACACGCGCGCACCGGTCTGTTAACCAAACCGCAACATAAAAGGAAAAAAAATTGAATTATTTGACATTAGAAGAGATATTGTAAATCTTATATAGCGAAGAAGATATTATAAAGTTTATATAGTGAAGAAGCGATACTGTAAACCTTAAGCTCGGGTCCCACTATCGGCGCAAGGTACCAATTTTCGGCGTATTTCATGTACCGATAATGTGACCGCATTAAATATTATGAAATGCGACAATCATGGCCGATATTGGGCCTACAATGCACAACCAAAATCGACCCAGTTGCGCCGATAATGTGAACGCTATAATGTTTGAT